CTAACCGAAAAAGGTCAAGTTACTGAATTGTGAGGTTAGGGGTTGATTTGTGATTCACGGTGAGAGCTCACACGTACACAAAAGTTATGTGCGTAATCTGTCAAGTGCCGTCATGACAGCAAATTTAGTCAGCTTAAGTTGCTCAAATAATAAGGTCGGTTTCCTAATAAGGTCGTATTTTGAAGTGTTTGTCAATAATGCCACGGACCACTGAAGTTGAGCTGACAATTTTAGCGGAAAATTATAGTACAGGTCAGAAATTGCCACCAACCTAGCAAAATTGGTCTTTCAAAACGAAATGCGCGCAAATACCGAAAGCAGTATTACTCCAAGTTGTTCTAACTCTGGTTGGCCTCCTGAAAAACCTACGCGAGAGGGCTGCGACATGCTCCAGCGCACGATTTCATTGGATCCCACGGACTCTGAAAGTGATTGGTGGAAGTCTCTTAAATCATTTTGGACGCTCGGTTAGATTGTTCATAAAATCGGCTAATCGTTTCTGTGTGCGTACTCTTTTTCTATGCTATGTTAATGCATTTTCTTGACACTAAGACTTTTTGACAAGTAATTGTCAATCCTCGTAATTTTAAAAGTAACGGTAATTTGAATATTTAGAAGGGTCCTCCTAAATGCGTTATGGTGTTAAATACTTTACTAAAATCCTTACAAAACTGGTTTTATTAGGGTACTGTGAAATTTAAGGTTATGCCACTGAGTATTTAATTTTTTTCCTAAGTAATCAATTAGGGTACACATACCACTGTCTTTAAAAAAAATTATTGCAAAAAAAGTCACTTAAGAAAATTACGGAAAAATCAGTGCTCAAAATATCAGGTAACTTATATAGTATTCGTTCTTTAATATATTTTGTCTATCTATATTACTGAACTCTAATAATGCATCCCATTTTCGCCGTTATAAATTTCATAAAGTTATTTACCATGCAGTGTTACACTAGGATTTGGCAGAAATTAATGTTAAATTTTTTTGGCGAGAAAAATTATACCATGGATTATTTGCGTATATAACGAAGGTAAAAAGAAAGTAAATGAAATCATTTCTACGGTAATTTGCGAAGCTTCATTTGGTTGTCAAGTGTTTGTTGATAATGTCCTGGGTCACGACGCAATTGCGTGCGCTGCAACTTTGGATTAATTCCTCACGAAAGCGTACCCAAAGACTTTCACAAACAGAAAAAAAGACAAAATATTACCTCTGTAGGGACGTAATAAGCACACAGACAAGGCTTAAGATGGACATTTGTCATGTTACTGCCAAGAGGGCTGTTGAAACGCTAGTGTTGGCAACAATGGTGGTCCTTTGGTGGAAGTGGACACTAGGGCTTGTTGGATTTAATGGATGTTGCTCAGCTATCAGGTGATGCGTGTGGACCTGTCTCCCATTCCTCAGACTGTTTTTGTGCTCAAAGTAATTTCTGGAAGAATATTAATTATTGAGACATTGTAATGAGGCCTTCATTAACGCTTAAGTAAGTTTAACAGCCGTT